CTCATTAATTCATAGTCCCATCCTGAGGGCCCCTCTTTCTCAAAACAAGCCTTCTCAAAAGACAAGAAGGCTTGTTTTTAAAAAAAATTACTGGGGTCCTTCAGTTCCATAAAGCTAGCGAAGTGTTTTAATTAATTACTTGACCAAGTTTTGTATGTAGCCATAATTGTGTTAGTTGCAATCAGTAAAATCATCTCAGCGTAATATTAACTTATATGGTATATTTAACGTATTTAATCTTATTTTACCTATAGTATCATGACCTGTTTGACTTTTAGAATCCAAACATAACTGTTTAATAATCTATGTGGAATACTGTATATCGTTAACAAAATTGTTATTTTAAAGTCCAGTTTAAATAATTAATTAATGCATAATATTAAATACATAAAATTTACTTTTCATTTTTGAGTATCACAGATATAGTAAACACACTGTCACCTGCATGGTGAACTAAGTTACTGCTAACGACAGACGTAATTTAGCCCCTTGCCACAATGAATTTCGAGGGCCTCCATCTGACACTATCGATTAGGTGGTATTAGATCAGGTGACATTGCTATTGATACAAATAAAAGGGTTTATAATAGTCTTAGAATCTAGCCTTTTAGCTAAATGTCTTTAAAAATAATAAATGTCAAAAATATAAATAATCAATGTATTTGTTAAAATTAACGTGTATTTGTTTAAATATGATCAAAAGAGCAAGATTTACAAAAATAAAAATAATTCCATCTATCCATTCCTCGTCTATTTGTTTGTTATATATATTGAAAACAGACAGGAAAGGGAAGGGTAAAAAACACAATTTTAAATTTTATCTTCACTTTTCTTATCTATTTTTAAGGATAAATTTGCAGTTAAAAATCATTTTATTAAATGATGATAAAAGAAAACCCGTTTCCGACTTCTTATCAGTTTAAAAAAAACTGATAATATTTTTCTGGTAACTTGTTATTCAGCTCTCTCCATTGTCTTTTTAATGCGTAACGGCCGAGATACCCAAATAAGAGGGGATGGGGAAACTTCCGTCAGAACAAATATTTAGTCCATCGGCATAAAAATAACTTTCACAACATTTTTCCAGGAAAAAATTTGCTAATTGATAATAATAATAATAAAGAAAAGTATTTCGAAATTTTCCAGGTCCTAACGACTTAACCCAAATACCTTTTTATATTTAAAGAGGTACCTTCCAACAAAAACATTCTCGACTAACGATTTTCTCAAACCATCCTTTTAGCCACGCACCTGCACAACCTCAACTATGTTTATATTTGCATATACCGTTCCCTTTCCTTTTTCAAACCCAATCTCTCTCCATCGTCACCGTCAAAGTCAAGGTTCCCTATGCGGTGGAAGAGAAAGCATCTTGATATATGTGTGTACTTTCGGACACGGAAGTTGGTCATGAGTACCACGCAATGTCAATACGGAGATCACGTAGTTCCCTGGTTAAATACCAGGTGCCGCAGTCATGATCTACAACTACGCCAGCGATTTATGACGTTTTTCGGGTTTCCCGAACTGAACACGAAGGAGATATGGCATCGTGGTTTGTTTAGAAAAGATTTATTCCGAAATTCGATTTCGGTGAAGCTTTTACCGAGCAACGGCTGCAATTACGAGATTCCTCTTACATTTTAATAATTTATCGTTTAATCAGAATTAAGATATAATTAACTTTAGTTAAAAGGTATTTCTTGAATTAATTTGATATATCTAGCAAAATCACAAGTAGGAGTGCAGAAACGTCTGAAAAGGCCTGCCGATGCATAATTTAGACCGAATACTCAGTTAAGCCTTTTTTGATTGAAAAGGATTTTTTTACCTGTTTAGTTTTTCCAAATTGAATTTTTCAATTTCATTTAGGTAATAAATGCGATTCATTTTATTTATAACTAGCTGCATAACCCGGCGTTGCGCGGGCTTTTTCAAGTGTATAACTTTTTCCTCATGGAAATTCCCCTTTTCCCTTTCGATATTAGCACTTCCTGGTGTGTGCGATTTCTCATTAAAAAGTTCTTTTTCGAGATTTCTTCCACTTTGTACCGTCGGGTGGGTTTCTTTTCCCTCCGTATAGCCCGGCGTTGCACGGGCTTTATACGAGTGTTTTCTAATTCTAAACTTTTAAATGTGGCAGTCGCTTAGTCATGATTGAGAATTCGTTACCAGCTTGTTTCTGGTTGAGTTGGGCGTACAAGTCTTTCCTTTCCCAAAAAATATATCATATATTTGCTTTTTAAATCTGTCAGAGCTCTTAAGTCCTTACGTTAGTTTGGAAATGATTGTTTAGAGAAAGTTGCCATGTCATATTCCAACCTCCTCTGACCATGGCTCGAAATTATGATGAATAGTTGACGAACTAAGAACTTGAAAGAATACTCCAAGCCCTAATCGATAAACGAGGGTCTCTTGAATCAGTGCCGACTTAAGCTCATTTAGGGCCCTGGGCGCAAAAGATCTACAGGTCTTTTTGGCACTGGCGGATCAAAATTTATAACCAGAAAATCTGTTTTCCAGCCTATCCCCGGGCCCCTGGGTACCCACCCCAAGCGCCCAATGAATATACCGGCACTGCCTTGAGTATAAAAATAGTTCTCAACCTTGATCAGATAATTTAGAACATCAAAATCGCCAGAATTTCACGCCAAATGAAGAGTTTTGAAAATTTTATTTGGATTTAAATTATGGTGGTTCCTTATATTTACGAATCTTTTCGTCTGGAACATCGGGGACTTGTTGATACCTTTAATGAACAATAATAAATTATTTTAAAACTATTATAAAAAATAAAGTCTTGCGTGATTCTTTATTGCTTTGTTTTGCATTCATTGTTACATTTTTATTGTGTATAGTTTTATTTTTATACTATATTTTTTTTTCTTTTTATATATGCACATTAGATAATAATTTATCCATACTACTTCACGACGCATTAATTTGTAATAATGAAAGAATGGGTACAATGAAGATTTTCCCCCATTTTTACATATAGAGAAAGAAGAATACATACTTTTCTTCTATTTATATATATGCGCTTGTGTAAGCTAATTACAAAACAGAATCAGTAATGTTGGAAATCCCGCGTAATTGAGTAATATTTTATTTGACTGTTATTTTTTCTAAGTGAAAATGTTTCCTTTGACAATCACTGATGACATTTCTTTCATTGAAAAGAGATTTTATTTAGAAGAAATCAAGTAAAAAATATTGAAACGAAGAATTAAAATATTAATAAATTTGTTATCGTTTAATGTGATTAGGAATATTTGATATAATTTTTCAACATTAGTAATTTTTCAAAAAATGTTTGTTTTCTTGCAAAATTGTGTAATGTATGTTGTGTGAAATGTGTGCGTTTTTTATTACTATATAATTGTGTGCGGTTAAAACAGTTGTGTTAGCAAAATTTAATATATTAGAATAATTATTTTTTGGATCGATACAATTTTGACATTTACAATGTGTTAATTTTTGTAATTATGTTTGTTAACTATTACAGAGGTTGAGAAAAATCAAATTTGAAAAATTAGCTTAGTTGAAAAATCATTCAGCTTGTAAATACTGTTAAGTTTTATCGGAACGCTTTTATTAAAATAAAATAAAACTTTTGATATTTATCTTCTTACAAATTAGAAATATTTTCAATTTAATAGAGTAAAAATAATTTTCACTTACTAAAATATGAATTTATACCTATTTTCCATTGATATATTAGTGTATAACATAAATATTATATTAAAAAACTGCACACTTCTTTCTATTGAAGACAGATAAAATAATTCTCTCGAACCACAAGCATCACACGGTGCTTATAAAAATAAGTAAAACAAACAAAATAAACGAAAAATGATAAAACAAAAGTTGCGAAGCAAACAAAATAACAAAAACAAGTTACTAAGACTAACAAATGTGTTACAAAATTAAACACATTGAAGTACAAAACCAAAACAAAGAAATTCTAAAATCTGAACAATGTGAAAAATATTACGAAATAATATCAATGAAGTTGCAAAATAACGAGAATGAAGCTTTTATTTGAAAAAGCTCAAAAAAATTAGGCCAGTTGCATGCAGTTTAACACACACTTTCAGGCATTTTCTTTTCTTTCTTAAATTTTGTAAGCAAAAATTTAAAAAACTTTTTAATACTTTTTGGGATGAAATTTATTGTATTGATATTTAACAATTTATAACATATTGTCAAATATCAGTACAATAATAGACAATTTTCTTTTAAACCTTTTTTTCAATTCCTCCATTTAGTTCACATTCTCCCTATGTATATAGTATATATATATATATTGTTTAAATTTTCAATCGTTAATAAAATACTTTTTATTCATCCACTTAAGTTCAAATACATTATTCAAAACTTGTAGTGGATGACACTTGATGTTAATACAGTTTTTTTCAAATACTAATTCATTAATTAAATTAAATTAATGAATAACAAGTAATATAAAAAAGTAGTTTTTAAGTCAATTCCTACTTAGATCAACAACGAAAAATTTTATTTTAGCTACTTTTTATTAAATAGTTACAATTACTATAAATATGTATATACACAAGACAGAATCACAACATTAAGTGGTAATTAGTTTTTTTTTATTATCATTAAAGTATCGTATTGTCCTTTTAATTTCAGTCCAGCTGAATGCTTTAACACGTGATAAAAAAAACGTTTTCAAGTTTTGACACAAATCGCCAACGTGGCTGTATTTGTAATTCTTTAAATAATTAGTTTTAATCAATTAATTTTTATTAATTATAATTAAATTAATGTGTTGTCATCCAAAATAATCCTGTATATAAAATTTCAGCGCTTTAAAATGTATTTTATTAACAATTGAAAATTCCACCAAGATAAATAAATAAATATACAAATATATAAATAAATAAATATATAGACAGTGCAAGCTAATAGTAGGAATTGAAAAAGAAAGAAACAAAAATAATGGCCCAACACCATATATAAGAAGGAAAATCGTTCGTTGTGTCCCTGTAGCGCAATGGATAGCCCTTTGGATTTCTCATCCAAAGGTCGTGGATTCGAATCTCACCTGAGATGGCCTAATTTCTGAGAATGTGATTTCTTTCTGCTATACTATTTTATTGGAATAATTAAATTTAATTAATGAATAAATAATAACAAACAAAAATAATAGTCTAACACCCTACATAGAAAGGAAAAAGGAAAATCGCTATTTTGCCACTATATTGTGGTTCTGTCCTATATGTATATACTTATTTATATTAATTGTAATTATTTAATAAAAAGTAACTAAAATAAAATTTTTCTTTGTTGACCTAAGTAAAAATTGACTAAAAAAAATTTTTTTTTATATTACTTGTTTTAAAAAAAAAATTCCCCGTTTCGCTAAGGAATTCTTTTTTTATTTTCAACAAACCTGTTGATGCAACATTAGGAGGGATTGAGAATTCTCTAAAAACCACTTTTCTTCGGATTCCCCAAATTTTAACTGAATGACATCAAATCCCTCTTAAGTGCCATTACATTCTCCTAAAAGCGATTGAATTCCATCAGTCAGGAGAAGATTTCGCACGCTATTTATATGATAGAAAATGGCAACATCGTGACTCCGTTACCTAGCAACGAAGTTCCGGACCAGACGGCGTCAGCTGGCGCATTCTGTGGTCATCATCATCTGATCCCGGGATACGGATGCTATTTCAATCCTGTTGCGCTGTCAGGATTTTCTCTTGCGCTTCTGCCATATGTTGCTTTTATCTTTTATTCTAGTGAATGAATCAAAAAGAATATTTATTTTCGCTTAGGTTTTTCAAGGTGCAGTTTGAGTCATAAAAAGTATGTTGAAATTTATTTTGCTAGCTGTGACATTTGTGCGCGCTTTTTCTCGATTGTTCCCTGCAATTGTTTTCGTTCAGCATGCAACGTAAGGGTTTAATGTCATAACGATATTCTCAGAGTGTAGTGCGTAGTTGAAGAATTACAAAATAATAAGTATGCAAATATAGTTAAAGCTTTGAGTTATTAGTTTGTTATAATTTTTGAAAGAGATGTTTTTTTCAGACTGAGTTACACGATTCTTAAATTTTAATTATTTATAGCAGTTGAAGAATATCTTTTATAAAAGTTATATTATATTTGCGAGGATAGCAATTTTAGGCCAAAAATTTTTTTTCTCAAAACAGTTACTTTAAAAAAAAATATATTTCTTAATTTTTTTTTTTTTTTTTTGCATCGGTAGTTTAAATAGTATTGCTGTCGCATTATTGTTGTTTGTATGAATTTATTTATTTTGTATACTAAGGAGATCTGTTTATCAACTTCATCACTCATAATGTAAATCGTTCGTATGATTCGGAAGTTAATGAAAAAAAATATATATATCCGAAATGTATTTTTGTAATTTATGATAAGAAAAGAGAAAATTATTGCATCTCATTATTAAGTTAACGTAAAAAAGTACTGTAGTGTATAAAGACAGAAAGGCAATATATATTATGAAACATAAAAATAATAAATTTTTCTGAAAGCTGATGGGGCTTTTTTAATTCTTAATTAGCTAAAATTTTATGCGTGTTTTTTTTTATTTATTTAAAATAGAACTATTCTCGATTTCCCTAGAGACAGCATAGTTCAAGAAGAAAGCTATTTCATTTAAATGTTAATTTTATTTCTTTTGTTGACTACTTAATATTTTAAGAAAAATTTTAATAATTTTTTTTTAATTTCTTAGGAAAGCTTTAGAATTCTACTTTCAGATTTAACATCTGAAATGCCACAATTATGATACTGATTTAGGAATTACTAATGAAAAATAGGTAACAAAGTGGTGTTATTAATTTTAAGATTGAATATAAAGTTGAAACAAATATGCAGCACTGTTAGGAGTTAAAAGTATTGTTTTCAGATTGCTTCATAGATGGCGCCACAAATCATTGAACAGTGAATTCCTATTTTTATACCATGGATTTAGTTTTGCTTTTCGTTTTTGGTGGTAAACCCCCGCGATATGTTCAAAGAAAATCAACATTTTTACAGTATTTTTTCAAAATATTTCTGTAGAGAAAGATTTCATGCACCAAGATTCTCTTCTGCATTTTCATTTTTTGAGTAATTCTTTTCAATATAGAGTAATTCTTATTTTTTATAACCTTCGAATTTTTTCTCGTTTTATTTAAACACAATTATTTTTACTTATTGATATTTTTCATAATTTTTTTAAACAATATTTAAAAATTTATCTGGAATGTTTGGAATTTAATTATGCTAGAAAAAAATGTAGCGAACAATAGCTACTGAGATGCCTTTAAGAAATAAAGCGTTTTATTTCCCATAATAATTTTATTTAAATTGTTATTGAATACACAATGAGAAATCAATACCACCATGTTTATACGAAAGAAATATGATCATTTTTCTGTAGTATATAACTGCGTTGAAATCAGTTTTCATCGTTTTTATTTCTGCTGTAAAAAAAAACTTTGCCTATGCAATGGAAAAAATTGTTAATGTTCACCTTAAATAGCTTACGTTTTTGTAGTTTAATGATGTTGATAAATTTGTTATTTTGCATTGGTTACGTAATTTTCTAATTATATTTTAAGAATTTTATGAGCTTCTCAAATATATATAACAAATAGTCATGTTTCTTCAATTAATTTTTAAAGTAATTAGAACAGAAGTTTTTTTTCTTTCCATTAGAACTTTCGAATCTTTCGAAATACGAATGCCCTTTATGCACCTTTGGGGCTGGCATGTTGACTCTCTCTCTGTTCATTTATTTAATCTCTTAAAAGGAAAGCACTAATAGGAATTTTGATATGATCTCTTTAACTAATGTGATTAAGGCTTATATGAATTGAAAAGTTCTTGGTCAATATTAACTCTTGGGAGGTAACGTTTTTCTTAAAGGAGTGGCAAAAATTCATTTCCTTTTTCAATCTGGTTAAGATTGTTTGAACAACCCTAATGAAACATTTCATTGTAAGAGTTGACTTTTGTTAAAAGTGGAGGAGGATTTGTATGCATTACCAGTCCTTAACGGATTTGCACCATTTCGTGATCTTTGCCATCAGAAGACCTTTTCTCTCCCCATCTCTCCCTACTAAAGGCAGGTGAAAGATTTTAAATGTTTTCTCATTCATTTATTTATGCCCGTGAATTATTTTTTATTGATTTTGTTATTGTTTTCTGTGCATGTTTTTAAGAAATAATTTTTAATTTATTTTGGTTGACTTGCTTTTAAAAAGAATTAATTTACCGTACTGATTTGAGAATTCGTAACATGTTTTGTTTCAGAGTATCCATAAATAAAGTGTAATTTTTTAAATTTAATTTTGCGAATAAGTAATTAATGAAACAGTCGAAATAATGTGCATATCCTCTTCTTTTTTTACGTATTAATTTATGAAAAACATTCTAAAATTTTTAGAAATATTTTACATGAGAATGGAATGTATATTTCACTTTTAAGGGTCAAGGAATTTGTTTCATCTGAATGTTTAAAGTACTCCCTCTAAAAAAATGTTTTTAGTTCATTTTAAATTGTCGTATTACTTCTGCATTAGCTATATGTAAGAACTCGAATGATTTTTTAATAGAACTTAATCAGTATTAATTTTATGTTATGAGCCTTATTAATGTCCATGCCACATTGTGAAATATTATAGGAATACTTAAAACGTATACTTTTGTGTGTTTGAATCATGTCAGATATTGAATTTACTTAGTTAATAACACACTTTATTAAAAAAATTATTAATGACTGTAATTATATTAATTAATAATTTAAGTTAAATTAGGTATATTTTAAATATTTTACTGAATGTTGAAAGATTATCGAACAATTAACAGCTGAACATATTTTACCTTTTGATAACTGTAATGTTATGAGTTAGAAAACAACCGGAGCCAAAAAACTTCTGTATACCACTAATTTTTTCCCTAAGATCTCTAAAAATTCGGTATCTAACATATGGTTTAAGAGCAGGGGCGTAGCTACCGCCGTATCAAGCTACAGGCTACAGAGGCCCCAAAATGTGTAACTACAGTACCGCCAGCAGGGCAATAACCTTCGGGGCTTTTTTCTAAAAAAGGGGCTCCCGAAGGAGTTTTGATACGGGGACCACTCAGAACTAGCTACGCCAGTGTTTATAAGACCGAATTTTGTAGATATCAATACAAAAAATAATTTATAAATAAAATGTGGTTTTAGTTATATGTTATAATGACCTGTTATATATATTTTTATGTATCACAGTAGTTCGCGTAATAATTTTTTTTAAACTTATATAATTAGTCAATGTGTAAAACTGAATTATATCTAAATATGGTTGAAAAATCCTTGGAATGTATATAGCTTGAAACTTAAATTATGTATAATTATAATTCATTTAAATAAAGACTACTTTAAATAATAAAACAGGATACCACTTACCGGTGTTATACACAAACCTTTCTAAGGGGAAGGGGGGGGGAGTATTCGATAAAATACATTGATGAAAGCGCTGTGAAGTATTCTCTATAGTAAAAATTAAAAATTTGTTTTTCTATTGGGGGTTTTGCCCCCCCCCCCCATCCTTATGCGTATGCCACTGCCACTTACGGAATATTCTGATTATTGACTCCAGTCAAAATACTTAATCCATAGTCAGTTCAAAATCATTGAAATGAAAGGGTTATGAATATTCATTTAAACATACTTATATGTTTATTAATTTTTGTTTCAATTTTTTCCCCTGAAAACCCAGAGACACAAAAAGGTCCCCCTGACAGAAATTAAACAGGTGTATACCGAATTCTAACTGACATGACCACACCGTCAGTTAGGTCAGGCAGATAGCGATCAGGATACATTATCCGCTTGCCTGAGTTTCAGGACTCGGTATTCAAGAAGAAAAGATGAAAAAAAGTGCGTGTGTGCGAGAGAGAGATCTCAAATATTTGAACAAAATAATAGAAATATTTTTTTTTCTTCTCATCTTTGGTCAGGCCTTGAACGGGGTGTCAGAACCTTGAAATGGTGCCACGCCTCCTGTCACTCCGTATTTCTCAAGGGGGTAAACTAAATAAGAGCTGAA